TCTTTAATTGGTGGAATAAAATTTTTGTTTTTGACAAACATAATACATTCAAGAACATACAAACCATAAACAGTGAGGATCCTTAGACGTTTAAAGTGTTCTTTTGCAGAATCATCTTTGTTCATTTTTAACATAGCTCTGATTGATTGCTTCTGTATTGTCAAAATTTGGTCTAGATTCGAATTTGAGGTGGCTCCATATACACATATGCCATAAGATATATGGGATTGAATATGGGAAAAATAGATCATTTTTAAAACATCAACACTGCATAGTTTTGACATTTTTCTAATCGCACAAAGACCAGAATTTATTTTATTGATAACAAGTTTACAATGTTTGTCCCAAGACAAGTTGCTGTCCAATGTCAGGCCAAGGAACCTTACGGCTTCTGTTATTTCAATTGGTTGGTTATTTACTTCAATATTAGGATTGGAATTGTTTTTGTTTTGTTTTGTTTTGAATGTGACACATTTGGTTTTACTTTCATTTAATTTTAAATTGTGATTATTAAAAAAATCCTCAATACAAGCTATTTCTATTGTGGATAGCAACTCAACATCTTCTGCAGTTTTCCCAGATACTTTAAGATTAGAGTCATCTGCATAAAGATACAAACCTGTACATGGGGCAAAATTTAGACACTTTTTAAAATTTGTTAAGTAACAAATGAAAAGTAAAGGTCCCAGGACCGATCCTTGAGGTACACCAGATCTTATTGTGCCCATATTTGAACTGTATTTTGATTTATAATTGTCTTTAGTGATGTGAGTTATTTCAACAAACTGTTGTCTATTTGATAAGTATGATTTAAACAAATTAAGAGAGTTATACCTGATTCCAATTTTTTCTAATTTAAAAAGTAATAGTTCATGATTAACGCTATCAAACGCCTTCGATAAATCCATGAACACTCCCAACACGTGCTCACCCTTGTCAATTGACTCAATGACTGATTCGACAAAGCTAACAATCGCTGTAATAGTGGACTTATCTTTCCTAAATCCGTGTTGGATGTCTTCTAGGATTGAATTTTCTTCTAAGAACACAGTTAATTGATTAGAAACAATTTTCTCGTAAATTTTAGATATTGGTGATAGCAAAGATATTGGTCGGTAATTACCAATATCTGTAGCCTCATTAGATTTAGGAATTGGTATTACTTTAGCAATTTTTAAATTGTCTGGAAAAATGCCACTAACAAAAGAGGAGTTGATTAAATGAGAGAGAATTTTACTTAGCTGCTTTCTTACAAATTTTATGACTGACATTGGAATCCCGTCATGGCTGGAGGATAGTTTGTTTTTAAAAGAATTTATAATTTTTTCAATTTCATCTTTATTAGTGTCACGAAAATAGAATTGATTTTGAATATTGACACAGGTTGAGCCGGTTGGAGATAGTTGTTCACGGATATCTCTGGAAGTCTGTTGGCTACAAGAAGGGGACACATTAATAGGCCTGTCCTTCACAACATTAATAAAATAAGAATTGAATAAATTACTAATTTCGAGAGGATCTGTAACTCTTTTGTTTCCATTTACTAAAAATATATTATTTGTGCAATTAACTGAACTTTTCCTGGTTTCTGAGTTTATAATATCCCAAGTAGTTTTAATTACATTTTTGGATTTCTTAATCTTGCTATCATAAAACTGTTTTTTTACTTCAATCAGTTTTTTTCTATATATTTTATTTCTTAATCTACCTAATTTTGCCAAATTTAAGTCATTATTGAAACGAGCTTGTTTATTTATTTGAATAATCTGTTTTTTCTCTTCCCTTAAACTGTCATTTATCCAAGATTTTCTTGTAGTTCTTAATTTCATTGTTCTTTTTGGGAATGATAAGTCAAAGTAGTATAAGAGCAGTTTGAAAAAAACATCAAATTTTTTATCAACTGGAGAAAAAATAACTGTCTGCCAATTTTCAGCTTCTAGGTAATTTTTAAACAATTCTTTATTTTCTTTACTAAATTGTCTCCTATTGTCAATTATATAATCAGTATTACATTGTTTAGTTTGTGAATTTAAAATTTGGAGAATTTGACCGTCATGATCTGACAGTAATGTAATTACACCGCTTGCTTTAATTTCATCTTTTTTAAAGTTAGTAAGAAAGTTATCTATTGCTGAAGTTGATCCATTAAAAACTCGGGTTGGAAAATTTACAGCACAACTCATATGAAAACTCCTTAAAATGTTTTTCAACCTGCAAAGTGTGTTTTTTGCTCGATTGTTGTCGGTTTCCAGTACATCGATATTAATATCACCTGCAACTATTAAATGTGTATTTTTCAAATTTTTGGAAACAAAAGAGTTGATAATACTCTCAAGCCTATCCAAAAACACATTAACATTGCTCTTTGGGGATCTGTATACACCTAACAAGACAAATTTAACCTTATCAATTACAAACATTGTAGCACAACACTCAAACTGCTTCTCTTCCAGAATACATTCCTGATTGGGAATAGCCACCCGTGACCAAATTAAGTGCTCTTTACTTAAAATTACAACTCCTCCCCAATTAGAACTTGTACGGCAAAAATAAGAGTTGAGCTTGTAATGTTCAATGTTCAAACGATCAATTTCCTGCAATTTTATTTTGTGTTCTGTTAAAACTATTATATCGGGGTTTATTTCATCAAGAACAATTTGTAAGGACTCTAATTTTGAGGCTAAGCCTTGGATATTTTGATGGAAAATTGTTGTATCTTTGAATTTTAAAGTTTTAGCTATGTGACCAGAGTTACCTTTGGAGAGCAGTTTAAAGAGGGCACGGGTAGACTAATCCCATCATTACTACTGTGGGACTCACTAGAATGACCATTAGCACTTTCACTGGACACTACAGAAGCTGATGTTGGTGAAGCTGATGTAGGACTTCTCCCTCCCTCAATGGTGACTACAGTTGACTGGGTTGGAGTTGCCTGGGGGCTGGACAATTTCTCAGTTGTCGACTCCGGGGATGCAGCAGGTTGGGCTCTAACCACTGTGGTTGAGTCAGGTGGCTGTGTTTTTGAAGCAGGTAGATTATGACAAGTTGGTATTGTCAGGGACTCATCACCAATATTTTCTTGTGCCGCTATGCTCACTAGTTGTGTCTTCATGTGCAATAAATTTGTCATTTTGTGGAGAAATTCTGTATGAGACAAGCCGTTTCTCAATTCTCTGTGGGAGTCTTGATGATAGGACACAATAGTAACATCTGCCTCGGTTTCACGTTGAAAGTCGACAATGTTTGAAGTAAATTTTTCCAGTTTAATTTTATCTCGCACACATCCGATGTGTGAGCATATTAGATGGTGAAACCCTCTTCTTTTGAAGTCGTTTTTCAGTTGGTGAAAGGCCGTGTCATAGTCCCAGTTGTTAGGTTTGCCATAATAACGGTTCTTTGTTATAAGGCTGTAGATTGAGGCCCCTTGGGTGTTTTGTAGGGCTAAGTGGTGACTAAGGCATTGGGAGGGACTTGGTTTGCCAAAATAGTCTTTGAAGACAACTGCCACACCAGCAGACATATGGCGGGAATCACAGAAGTCAGCCGAGATGCTATGTGCAAAAGCTACAGTCCGATCACTCCTATACTCTTCTATTATCTTTGACATGTGCCTGTCCGTTACATAGATTCTAGGTTTTTCAAGATGATTTTCTTGATCAATATTAGCCTGACAGTTCATTATTTTTTTAATTTTGTTAGTGATAAGGCGAACCAGTACGTTTTTTCCTGTATTGTTTAAATGGAGGCCATGATTCGTAAAGTGGTATCTCCTGAGGTTATCAAGGTCCACCACATGTACCGATTCCAGTCACTATGTATTAGACCTCACTATAATGAAAAGCTCCTAAATGTCTGTTTTTAGATTATTATAATAGGTACAACAAAAACTCACTAAACTAATTGATATTCAGCGTACATTGGTTACTTAGAAATATTACTTCTGAGGGTAAATTAGTGCAATAAAATTAAAATGGAAATAGAATAGAAATAAGAGATAAAATTACCATTTAAAGTAGAGTAGTACGACACACCGAGGATTGTTAAAGCGAGGGTCCACTGTATAAAATTAATTAGTTACAATTCTGTAAAATTACCTTAATGTCACTGAAAGCCTTTCTTTCCTCTACTCCAATTGCTTCTCTTAGTTTGGTATACTTCGTCTTCAAACGTGTTGATACTGCTTCTATTAAGTAATCAAACGCGTTTTGGGACATTCGATAAAAAAAAAAAAAAAAAAAAAAACTTGTCTGAATACTTTTGTAGTTTAGTATGCAATGTGTGGAACATCCCTTCGGACTTTCTGTTGCTTAATATTGGATAGATCCACCATTTTTGCTGCTGTGATCGGCGTCGTCTTGATAAAAGATTTAAAAAAATATAAAAGATTAAAAGATAAAAGATTAAAATTACACTGATAACAACACTATGAATGTTAATTTGTGGCATGATCTAGGGCCAAGTTGACCGCGGCGCGATACTAAACTGCTAGTGGAGCCACGGTGCAATGTGAGGACGCTGCAGATTGTAGTTCGTACTCTGCTGCTAGTGGAGCCACCAACTGTAGCGTGTAGCGCGCTACAATTTACGGCAAGTGGAGCCGCAGCCTTAGGTAAATAGTATTATTATACCAAATGCTAGTCTAGATTGTTAGAGTGGTCTGCTAGACTTTTTAAGAGTTAAAACAAAAACTTTAAAAAACGTAAACCTAAACTAAAATTATGGCTTTGACATTCCCTAGTTCTCAAAATTATCTTTCTTTCAACACAAAAATAATGAAAATCTGTCGATTGGTTGATTCGGAATCATGAAATAAAAACCCTGTCATGTTTTTAATATATTATATGATATAGATATAGATAAGTATGCATAACCATTGACTTTTGGACACCGAAGTCAATTGTAGACACAAAACCAATTGTAAAACAACCAGTTTACTTTTACAGTGAACAATTGAAAGTGTAAAAGGGAATAAGATACACAAATAATTAAATTGGATGAATAAAACTGTTTATTCAAAAAAACTTAAATAACATGTCCAAGGTAACTTCAACAAGGTTTCAAAGAGTCATAATGTTAAATTTAAACTTAAAACTCATGTAAAAAATTACCAGATTATTACCAGTACAAGGAAATAGCTTGAAACAGTTGATTGAAATTTAAAGATTACTCTACCGAACGTATCATAAAAAATCATTCAACATAAATAAATTGCAAAATATTTTTTTTCCATTTTTATACATAATAATGGAATATTAAAATATGGAGTTTAAACCAAGGAATTGAATAAAAAATTTTCTTGCACAATTTCAGCAGTTCAAAATGTACTTTTTTTAAAGACTCGCAGCTTTAACTACTGCTTATCTTGTTGTAAAGTAGTATCAGGCACTATTATATTTCAGCATAATTTCATTATGTTTAGTTACAGGTATTTGCAATACATGCTTCTTAAATAAACATCATATAAGTTTTAAAAATAAAATGTTAAGGGGTTCTTCAAACTAAAGGAAAATTAACATACCACTGTAACTAACCCAGTCTGAATTCATAATATTAACAAGAGAATCGACCTGTTTAAAGTTATAACTTAAAAGTTGACAAATAAATCAGAAAAACGTATCGTTACATGGTAAACCAATGGCCTTACAAACAAAAGTTGACATTTAGTTAAGGAGTGTCTTCTTACAAGGAATTAGGAAGTTTCATAACATACATACTAAACTGAAATATTTTGTATCACTAAAATGTCCAGCCAAAAGTCGTATGGTTTTAGTTTCGGCAGATATAAATCAACTCATCCCTATTTTAAGGTTTGACCGCAAAATTCAAGACTTGTTACCGATTTTTTCAAAATTGACAAAATTCATGAATTTGTGGGTACTTTAAACTGTGTAACGGTTTGTAAAACATACTTTTCAACCAAAATATGAAAACGTCATAGTATTAATATTCAACATTCAACTTAACGACATTATAAATGAATACATACAAACTATGTACAATTAACAAGGCTGTACTAAAACGTACATTATGTGAACCTAAGAAATGTAACACAGAAATTGCAATATTGATTTAGTAATACCTCATGCCATCGTAGTTGTGTAAAAATAAATAAAACCATTTCACTTGAAAACAAAACAAATCCAAAATTGGACAATAAAAATTAATAGCCGGAACTGAGTTATATCATAGTTTTTTTCAAGATGTATTCTGTATCCCAGGGTTGTCTGCAGCGAAGGGTCAGTTGTTGATTTTAATGGTTCGGTTAGGGGTTTTTTTAATAAGTTGGGGCTTTTTTTTTAGTTACTGGAATGTTTCTCTCTACTTTTGCAAAAGGAACCACACATGCTTCAAATATAACTCGAGCTTCATGTAGAGGCCTCAATAAATTATGGTATCTTAACAATTGTCAACTGTCAGGATAATATAGGAACGCTGTATGTTATGACAACAACAATATGAGACAAAGGTACCAAAGTGCATTGGCAGATTTGAGACCAAGTACATAACCTAAAAATGTGTGTGTCAAATAAAAGATAAGTAGGCCTACCCATAAAACAAAGGCTATTTTAAGTTATAAATATGACAAAGTTTAAAATGGAAAATAAACAGTTTTACAACAGTGGCCAGCCTAATTGGATGTGTACGATAAAAATACTGTACGGGCCAGAAGGGAAATGTAATAGCCATCATAAAACTATTATTTCCATGATAAAATGTTAAATGGGTGTGGGATTGCATAGTTATCCTAGCAATAAATAGAAGAAGTTGCAAAGGAATAATTGACACAATTTTTATGAGCTCAACTTCTCGATTCATATTGGAACCACTTCACTCGACCTTGAGTAGATACTCTTAAAAACTATTAACTATTAACTAACTGCCCTGATAAAAGTATTAGTGGTATTGTAATTACATCAATATTCTAGTGATAAATATGAAAGTCCAAGCAGAAAATCAGTAGAAAGTAAAAGCAGAAATCTAATAAAACTGTTATGTGCTCTTGACCAATTACCATTACCAGAAAAATTATTGAACAACCGAAAAATCGACTTTTTATATCAATTCTTGGTTTGGGGTTTTTTGCTCAAAACCGGTAAAACTGACAACCAATATTAACAACCAACCCATCCCTAGTGGTCTCCATCGAACTCCTGTTGCGGCCAAGTGAGCTAGGCCAATGCTGTGTTCTGTAATTCATTCCCCATCATTCTAGATGGTTTATACTCATATTAGATATTAGATGATTAGAAGCTGACAATAATGTAAGGGAAAGTCTATGCATCAGTCAAGAATATATTACGTTCTGTGTTAGATTTTATGTACGAAGGGGTCAACCCTTCTTACAACCTATTGCCAGTTGACCTTTCCATGTAAAATTTGAATGAGTAGTTCAGGGAGTTTGCAGAAGACTAAGTACATTTGTACGAGGCTATCAGCAGAAGTTTATCAGTTTTCATCCAAAGATTGATTGAAGTTGAGAAAACTGCACTTGTGTTTCAAGACTACCAGGATCTATTGTTCTTGATTGTCTTATATAGATGTCTATTTCTGTTAAAAATCTCAGGATCACTCACACTGAGATTGCAAGCAAAATCCTTTTAACTTTGGCCAATTCCCTAAGTGAGACTGATGAACAACCAAAGCCAGCCTACACCGTACAAGATAAGACTACATTCAAACTCTCTCCAGCATTTAAGTTCCTGTTCTACGTCTAAACACTTAACTCTGTTTACATACACCAACTACCGGTGGACTTCAATAGCTGTTGACTCCTCAGACCATAGAAATCTTATCACGAAAAGACATTGATACTTGGTGGTAGCAGCAAATTTCCTTCATATTCTTTTCAGGTACTATGACGAGACTAATTGTGCACAGAGTGGAAAATTAAAAGAATCGTGCTGAATGAAGTAAAGAACACGGCTCCAGTCTTATTTAAGATTTGAACTAGCACACTTGACCTCAATGGGAACTTGGTTGAGATCCGTTCATAACAACTTTTATATTCATACACTAAATTGCAATTTCTGCATTAACACTCTTTTTATATCAACACAACAGTATTCATGAGCATACAAAATCACAACTGAGGTCTCAAACAATACAAAAATAGCCCTTTGTACAAAAGAGTTGTTGTAACAATAAAAATAGTTGATAAAAATATTCCTGGTGGTAACACCATTTTTCTTTGTACTTCTATTTAAACTCTCTCAGAGACACCTGAAAAACAGAAAATATTAATATTTAACTAAACCAATGTCACCACTAGTTCATTTTATCGATGTTCTCTAGGTAAAAAATTGGGAGTATTTTATTTTTATCTCATACAGTTTTGTTACCAACAATTTGATTCTTTAGCTAGAGGATCATTTATGGACAGTTTAAACTAAACAAGCCTTTTTCTAAGTATCTAGCTAAAAACTTAACTAAGGTTTATTTCAAGGTTTTGGGTGTTTTTTCTTACCATTACAATGTTGACCACAACGTGGAGATTAAAAAAGGTCCTCGTCATCACTATTCAGTTCTTCTATGAGCACACCCACATCAGTTTGCACTCTTTTAATTTTGTTCATCATCTCCTTGGCCCTTTTCCTGTAAATTAAAGAGAGATGAGAAAACAAAAACAATAACCCCAACACAGCAAACTTACAGACTAAGCAATTTTCAATTTGTTGGATTTTACTATAATATTTCCATAAACAAGACATGTTTATTCCCTATTTAAATAATATTAAAATTAGATTTAACAAGTACCTAGGGTTGCTTAAGCTTCGGGGAAGGTAAAACGTGTTTTTGAATAATGTTGATAAATAGTATAGGATAAAAAAATAAATTTTCCAAATTTAATCTAAATTCATCCATAAACAAGCAAACCACATCAATTTTCTTGTTCTCCATAAGAGTAGCAGTTAAGTTCTCCATAAGAGGGGCCAGGAGAAATAAAACAAAACTTTAATGGGTTTGGACCGCTTTCCCTTAAAAGTGTTTGACTTCATTACAAAAATGCCGTTGGCGTAGATACGAACAAAAAAAAAAAAAAAAAAAAGGGGATCCGCCAATGGTGGGTGTTACTTCAATAACATTGATTTTTAATGAGTACTTAGGTTTCCTGCTACAAGGAAGGTATTAAGGTGGGGGTTTTTATCGTTAATTTAATAGCTTAGTATGTATAGTAACAAAATTTCCAAATTTGATTAAAATAAACTAGCAAACTACAACAGTTTATTTATTCCCCATAAGAATATCATGGGCATTTTAGATTTACAATTTTTTGAATTACCTCCGTGACTGTTAGGCATACTACAATGCCAATATACCAAATTAGTTTTTTTAACCTCTATAAAATGGTTTGGAAAGAAATTGTTTATTTTATCTTTATAGAGTCAAAAATGGGGGAAAAAATTGTACCCCATAAACAGGAGTTCCCATAGTCTGATCATACTGGTTTACGAACTTGTTCGAATAAACGTAGGTTTACACGTTTATACCAAATTTGATTAAAATCGGATGATTTTTGCCCAAGTTATTGCGCTAACGGACGCATATATATAGGCCTACGTATATATATATATAAATATTATGTACGAAGGCTCGGCTCCAAAAACTACTTTGAGGCTCGAGCTTTTTCCAAAACTGTAACGCATAGCGACACGCTATATTTGATATAGTGTGTGCATTTCGCGAAGCCGGGCTGCATGACCAACTCGTTGCCTGCCGCGACTGCATTTTTTGCTGCTCTACCTCCCTACACTCTTGTCCTCAGTCTTTGTCAAAAAACCTCTCCAAAAAACTCCAGGCCTTCTCTTCGATGTTATGGATAAGTGACCATAGTTTAACACATGGAATAATGCTTGGCTAAGTCCTAAGGTAACAAGCGGGGAGCCCTTCTGGCTCACCCGACCATTAAAATGTAGGAATTTACAACTTAGCCGGTTGGCTGCCCTCTGCAGCCAACCTTCTCAAACCTGAAAACTAAACCACATGTTCCCAGAATGTAAATTAATAGTTATCAATCAAATCCATATTTCACATTCAGTATTCAATTTATATATTATCTCATTCAATCATCAATATTAGTAAGTTATTATTCATTTTCAGTTCATACTTGGAAGGATAGGTCTACAGTTAGATAGTTAGTTAAATTAGTGTAAATCAAAGCTGGCTTGGCAAGTGTTCTGCTCTGCCCTCTGGTCCCCAGCAATCTTCCTAATTTTATTGGTAGCAGATTCAGCACGCTAAAACTAAGTTTGGTCCAGATACAGCTATTCCTAACCTATTAGCGTTACCCTGTTTATTCCCTCCTGATTACCCGAATTCCCACTAATATCCCACGCTCTTACACCATCTTATCCCATAACCTCCATATATTTCCCTCCAGCTACATATAATAGTCTTATTCTTCTTCCCCCCCGCTACAAAACCTTGATTGGGATTGGATTGATAACAACTCTTAGGTTCTGGTCCTTTTTTATTAGGGTACTAGCTGTACCCGCGGGCTTTGCCCCGTTTAACTTCATAAGTATTCGCATGGCTCATTCACGTCCTGGTTGAAGTTCGTTCGCTACGCTCACTCACCTTTTGGTTGGAAATTAGCTGTTTTCATAAATTAAAAAAAATAATAGTGCTGCACCCTGTTGGTAATCCTTGTAACTTTTATGCTATTGAACATCATAGAACAGAACCAACTTGTTTAATTGAAACAGCTGTTAAGATTCATTAATTCCTTTTAAATATGAAAAACCATAAGGTTAACATGGGGAACTACAGAGCCACTGGGGCGGAGCCCGAAAGGATTTTTGGGATAATAATATGCTTTAATGTTAATCGGGAATGTGAGCTATCATCATGCCAAATTTCAGCCCAATCCGTCCAGTAGTTTATGCGTGATTGAGCAACACACACACACACACAAACACACACACAAACTCACAAACTTTCAGATTTATAATATTAGTAAGATTCACATTTAAAAATCACCAGGCAATTATTTAATTTACATCTTACCTTAAACTGTTTTCCCTGAATAAAGCTAGAATGTTTTCTGTTGTCATTTCAAAACATAAAATATTTCCATCTTCCGCATAGTAGGTTGATGTTGCTTCTAGAAACTGGTTGATACATTTGTCTCCAACTGTCAATGAAGACTGAGGATAATCTTCCATGGCACTGTAAAATATTAACAATATTGTCATTGTCAGAATGCAAAACAGCTTTGTCTGTAAGTAGTTTCATGTATGCAAACATGTTTAGAGTTAAGAATTAAGAAATTTAACTAATTTCATTTACTATACATTTTTTAAGGATTACGCCTTTTTGGCATGTTGTTTTCAGTGATGGACACCATTTAGCGATCCTATAGCCATCACTTCGGTCATTTGTCTGACAGTTGGGAACAGACCTGTTCAATATTGTCAGTCATAGAAGAAGGTTGTGTTTTCCTTGTCTCTGTGAGTTTTGTGTCCAGTTTTCCTTGTCGCTGTTTTTGTCAAGTTCTTGCAAGGTAAGTTGTGACAATTGTAAGGAGGTTGAATTAAAGAATTCTGATTTAATTGTTTGTTGTAATTATACATGTCAATTAGAATATCGTTACAAGTGTGCTGGGTTTACCTAAGCCATGTTTAAAAAACTAACAAAAGCAAGCAAGATGGAGTGGATCTGTGAACCATGAAAATCAGTCAAGATAAATGGACAAAATGTAGAGGATGCAGAAAAACTAAAAACATTCCTGGAAGGAGTAGTTACACAATTAAAGTGATTGACTGAAAGAATATAATTAATTAAAGAATATATTAAGAAAAAAAAACAATGATCAAATGGTTAAAAGTCTGGGGTGTATAGGAATCCAATATGATGACATTAATATACAGTTAGGGGCAGGGCCGTCGCGTGGTTTTTTGGCGCCCGGGGCGGGATGTTGCCAGGCGCCCCCCCACCCCAAAAAAAGAATGAGTGATGATGTCGCTATATTAGTTTTAATCCCCAGAAACAGACACCTAAAGGGATTGAATCACCTTACAAAAATACTAGAGTCAGGAATCTGGGATTATTATTAGGGATATAAATTACTTAAATTTTGTATGAAAATCTTTTTAATTGATGATAACCAAATCCCAATTAATGTAAGAAAATGTTAAAATGTATAAAAAGTACTATACTGAATATGTTATTAATTAATTCAGAGCAAATTGAAATTAATGCAATGTATGCAAAACCTCAATCCAAACCTACTCTGAATAGAATTTTTATACAGAATAAAAGAAACCCACGTTATCACATTTAGATATGAGATCCTAAACATTAAGTGTAAATAACTCATAATCACTCATCAAACTAAGCTAGGCAGCTCAGCTGAGACTGCCGTAGGAGAAAGGAGTGATTGGGATAGGGGTGGTTCCCAAGGTCGATCGTCGGCCGGTCGGGCGAATTAAGACCGCACACACGTACGGCAGCTACGTGTACAGAGCAACACCACGACTTTGCAATATTAAGATATAAGACATTGCAATATATTAAGATAATTAAGTTGGGACAGAGCTTTCAACTCCACAGTGGAGTTGACTGTTTAGGCTATTATTACTAAATTTAATTCAATACTATATTGATATTAAATTTGGAAAATATTGCAAATTATAAAGTGATTGGTATCAAATAATATGTATTTGTTCAATAAAGGCATACAACGTAATATTTAACAGTCAGTTACACACACGAATAATAGAACTAGTATTCGTGGTTATACATTTCTAAAATACGTTATGTGCATCTAACTTTTTTTAATTTGTTGCATTACTTTTGCGCGGCGCCCCCCTGACTGCGGCGCCCAGGGCGGTCGCCCTGGTCGCCCCACCCACGCGACGGCCCTGGTTAGGGGTTCTGCCAGTTTTGGAGAGAGCGAGATTCAGCAGCTAAATACCAGCAAGATGAGCAGATAAGTACATTGGAAGCAAGCCTAAACCAACTAGAACAATATGGACGAAACAGAAACATTGAGATTAATAAAGTTACCGAGCAATAAATATGTCTCAATTAAGTGAGAAATTTGTTATTCACTGAAGGTTGGTTAGCCCAATTCTGTTGTTAGGGATTTTTATATTAAAAAGTTAAGCCATCAACATGTTTTTTTTATAAAAATAAAATAATTTTAAATAATATTTGTGATTTTGATGGATAAAGATCTGATGTATAGTATAAAATATCAGTTTTCAAGACGTTAGCAGTTTCATTGCTTCAGGTGATAAAAAGCTTTACAAACAGGGAATAACAATTTCATAGGATCAATTAGGAAAAACTGGGATGAATCTTCAGCATCTTTCGGCATTTGTTTTTAAATACTAGAAGATGTCATTTTTACAGGAAATAATATTTTAGAAAGTTTATTAGATATAATGGATTTGTTAAGACTATTTTGACAAGATTTTCAATTTAAGGAAAGATGATAGAGGTGGAGGAATCTTAATTTTAAGCAGAAGGGATTTTACATTGCAAACATAACCATCAAACAGTAGTAATTTTGAAAGCAATGCCACAAAGGTGAAGTTCAATTATTCACTAAATATTGTAGTAGCAGTATACAGACAGCCTGATGGCGCCTTTCAGAAATGAGACACTTTATATTTATTAAATAGTTGAGGTGATTCGAGTAATGAAAGGTAATCTATTAGTAATTGGAGATATAAATCTAGACCTGAAGGACACAGAAAAGAAAAAGTTTCACAAGAGTGGAGATAAGAGCAGGAAAACTGACACAGACATGGAGACTTTTTTTCACCATGCTTAGCTGAGAACATGGAGGACAAAGGTCAGCGCAGACACAGTAAAAGTTAAGAATGTCAAGCCTGACAACTCTTTCCCAGCCCACCAACCGACCAATGTCATCAAACATATCAATGAGGCCTTTCTGGGACAAGTACAGTAGAACCTCTTTAATCCGAACTAATTGGGACCGGGGGTAGTTCGGATTATTGAATAGTTCGTATTACAGAACATATTGTTGTTTTTACATAACAATAGACAAAACATGGCTAAATTGGCTCTTAATTGTTACAGGAAAAGTGAACAAATGCTTTATAAAGTAAAATGCAGTGTTTATTTAATACAGTAGTAAACACAGTTAATAAACAGTACTCTACATTACAATAGAAACAATTACTGTGTGTACGTATACAATAAAGAACTACTGTACTATGTATGGAGTCCAGTTCAATGAGGCGTTCGGATTAGTGGACGTTCGGATTACGGGGGTTCGGATTAAAGAGGTTCTACTGTATTGCATCGGAGAAACTGGCTGTCTGTTTGAAAGTGCTACAAGTGTCAATTAAATTTGTGATAAAACTAGCAGTTACCCGGTGCATGTTGCTGCGCTAACAACTATTATTTTAAATGGTAATTTGTTCTTTATGATAAATAATAAAAATGTATACCAAAAACAAAAATAGAATATTTATTTAATTTAATTGCCAGTGGATAAACAATGTTTTTTGTTTTTTATTATGTGTATAAATATATAAGTCTTTAGACGTACCTACCACCACGTGAGCACATAACAGACAGCTGTATGTTGTGTGCTCACGTGGTGGTAGGTATCGCCAGTTTAAATTTATTTCGAAAACAATGAATTTAGAAGGAATCGTATAATATTTGTACTATTATAACAAAATCTCAAACTAGAAAAAATCAAAAAACCATGGATAATATTATAGATTGTTGGGATGATGAAGAATAGAGATAGCCTTTTTAGGATACATAAAGCACATTCTTGCAATATATCTAATCTAATCTAATTTATACAGCCACATATGTAGCTCACTGACTGACTGACTGATCAGGTATACAAATTCTAACATACTTCTAGAAGAGTTATAGACTTGAAATTTGGCACGATTATAGGTCTTGGCCCTAAGCCACCCAGAAAACTTAAAAAAGTTACACTTTCCTATTTTAACCCTCCCTAAAAAAATTAGAATGGCGGATTTTTAGAAAATTCCGGAAAATTTGTTTTTTTACGTTTGTTGTGGCTAAACCATTGGTTTGATAAAAAAAAAAAAAAAACAGAGAACACTTACTGTGTTATGATTTAAACTAGCTATATTGTAATTAAATGTTTTTTTCTATCTCTACCCCTTCACCCTTATATATTGCCCTAAACTTCTTAAATTTTGGTATTTTTTCCTCATGTTTCTTTGTTTAAACGTCTGTTGTGGCTCAAATGTAGGTCTGATCAAGAAACGGAGAGCACCTATTTTTAACAATCTACAACTTTGTAATTTGATATTTTTTTCCGTCTTCACTCCTTTACCCCCAAATTCACGCTTGAACTTGAAATGTTGCCTTTATTTCCCTGTTTTTGGTCGTTTCGGCTGCCTTGGAGAAGGTTAAAAATGTTTTCGTCATGTTTGACCTAACACTTATATTTAAATATGTCTAACATTTATCCCTAACTGATTTAGGAATTTTAACTCACCTTACTCAACCCTCAAAATTGGGGGGGATGATTTTAGTGAAAGGGAATCCTGAATTTGAAGTTTTCCTTCAATTTAAAATTACAGAAACGTACGATTATATAAAATCAACTAATGTTTTATATACAAATTTTTATAGTGTACATTTTGTTCCATTGCCTTTCATGTATCTTTGCTTCAACCCCCTTAGAAAAACGCAATTCTGATAGTTGTGTCCTTAGAATAAGCCCACTTACCCACTCATATTAGAGCTAGAACTTTGAATTTTTTTAGGGGTGTTGGGTTTTCGGTCCAAATTACCTTAAAAATGTTTAAAATCCTCATTAACTTAATTTAACCCCTCTCCATTAATTAAATTACCACCCATGTTAATCTTATGGAGAATAAACAAGCTAAGAGTAAAATGCCATTACAAGCATATTAAATCATAAATCTTTATTTGTCATTAAATAACAGAGTTACAAAAGACCTCGTCAACAATGAAAATGACATCAAAAAGGGCCTAAGATTACTAGATAGTTATTATATTACTAAGCACAGCCATTAAAAACCTCAAGACTGTCATTGGTACAGAAATTGACTATTTCACTGACTTAGCCTGAAATGCACAGGAATACACTTAACACAACAGTGATAACAAGAAAATAAAAAATTAAAAATCATTTGAAAAACACAGAACTGTAGTAACAAAAAGTGAGGTACTTAACC